GTGCTTATTTCTGAGTTAAACTGAGATGAGCAAGAGGATAAGTCAGCAAAACCACTGATTCAAAAATAACCGTTGTAAATAACACATGCAACCCAACTTAGTGCAACAAAACTCTGAACACATGTAAAATATCATGAAAATAGTGTCTTTAATATACAGTTTATATACTTACAATACACGGTTTAAATTTGTTCATATACATTACAGGGATATTTATTTGCACCTGGTTTAAATAATCTGCCTTCAGCCTTTTACGCAAAAGTCCAAAACAGCACAGAATTCCACAAAAACCATGCTTCGTTTCGTAACGGAAATGTACTAAGCCAAAGTTTGGGGGCTTCGCTTTTCTTTCCCCTGGAGTTACTTTTTTGACCTACCCAAAGTGAATCTAAATAGCTAAGAACTAACAAATATTTTTAATATGGTTCAGAAGATTGTCCAAGTCAAGAGAATCACTCTGCAGATTTTTACTCTGAAAATTTGGTTATTATTCACAGACATGATAAAATCTGTACAACTCCAGGATTACCGGGAGTTTTAAGACAGCACAAACTATGAGTCATTTATTGCTCGGCCTCAACAAGGGCTCTGAACTTCCTTGCTGCCCCGACGTCCTTAGTAGTGTAAATAAAATGGACAGTCCCTCCCTCCAAGGAACATTTCGTTGGTACCTTCCAGTTTGCACATGGGAACACGGCAACTTTCAGAACATCAGAGATGGGCCAGGGGAGTGGGGCCTCCTGGTGGCCCTTGGGGCCAGTGCTTGGCCTCCCCATGGTGTTGGCTCCTCGAGTGGCCCACGGGCCACAACCTGCTTGGCCGCAGGCAGCCTTGGCCTGCAAATACCTGGGTCTGGCAACGCTTTCACTAGCACGGAGACAAGCAAGGAGTAGACTCAAGAAGAAAACATAGCAGAATACACTTCAAGTATTTATAGACAGGTTCGAAATACCGTGTTTTGGAAACAGTATTGCTACGTACACTGTGTCTCTTGAAGCCGCCGTTGTGGAATAAAGTCAATTAAAGTGGCAAGTAAAACTGTTGTATTGGAAAAAAAAAAAACCTGTGTAATATAGTTACTTCAATCCTTTGCTTCTAGCTGCAAGGAACGTTTCAAAATACATTTTCCTTCTAATTTTGGATGGACCAAATGTTTTCCGTCTCTAAATTTCTAGCCCTAAGCTATTTTTATAATACAGCAAGAATACAAATGCAAATATGCACTTTGAGTTGATTTCAGCACAACTTTGGTTAGCCAGAGAGGCAGCAATACAGAAGAATTTTAATCCTAGGCACAACGAGTGTTTAAAGGAAATCAGCATTTCCCCTCAAGTCGTCTCCTCATCCCTCCCCTTGCCAAAGCCCCTGTGCTAGAATCCAGTTTCCCGAGCCATCAGTGCTTGTGCCCTGCGAACGTTGCATAGAAAGTATATATTTCCTGGTGCAAGGTGAAATGACAACTCCATACACAACAACGTGCCAGATGTTCGGCTACCAAACCCCCCAAACAGTGACAGCACACAACTTCAAACACTGATAACTAAATAAACACCAGAGGTCTTACATTTATTTTACATGAGAAAAGAAACTGAAGGTTAAATACTACCCTATTTTAGCAGAGTGTCTCTGAAAAGCAAAAGGTTTTAGGCCCACTCTTGCATGCCGCACACTCTCTGAGCTCGATGGCCACATCTCTATTAGTAAAAATGGGCCTGAGGCTTTTCTCAGGCCACAAGGACAACCAAGACAGCTCCCATCTACATAGCTAAACTCCATTACTCTCCAAAAAAAAGACAGATTCCACTCAGCTTGCTATTTGGGAACAGCTGGGCATTGCTGCCCTCTTAACCACCACCTTTGATGGTGCCAGAGCCCTGGCACAGGCTGCCCAGAGAGGCTGTGGAGGCTCCTGCTCTGGAGATCTTCAAACCCGCCTGGATGGACCCTGTGCCCCTGCTCTGGGTGTCCCTGCTGGAGCAGGGGTTGGACTGGATGATCTCTAGAGGTCCCTTCCAACCTTACCAATTCTATTATTCTATGATTAACCGTGCTTGGGAGCTGCCTGGGATCTCCCATTCACAGGCCTCTTCTCTGGCACCAAAGCCACGAGAACAGCCTGACCACACTGGACCACCACGGGAGAGGCCTGTGTTGTGCAGGTTACTAGTGCAGGTGTCACCGAGCCGCAGAGATAGTCACTGAGGCCAGTAACAAACCACTGGACGGGGAAGAAAAAGAACAAGTACCATTTGGCAACGACAAACTGAAATCTGTTTAATACAAACCTGCTTGAGTTCGAAGTATCTGTCTGTCTAAGTGCACAGTAAAAGGGCCCAGTCTGCAACCTCTTTAGGTTCAAAAACATTTCAGTAACACACACGAGTGCCCTCAGCAACCTCTCAAATCACAGAGAGTGTCGCCCTCAAACACGGAGGTGAGGTGACAAGGCAAACCTGCCACGAACGCCACAAGGTGACACGGAGGGCGAGGCCTACCAAACACCGAGCGCTCGCAGGAAGGTCGTGTCATGGGGATGTTCCCCAGACGCTTCCAAACACTGTGGGGACATTGAAGTAACCCCCCTGAGGGGACGTTAAAGCAGCTCTCCCTCTTGAAGTACCATAAGCAGTGCAGCATTTTGTAACCTTTTATAGATTGAAGCTTCTAGGTTCGACATCCCATCTTTCTAAAGAGACCATTAAGTGCTCTGCTAAGGCCGAAAAGACTTCTCTGCTCCTGTCCCATTTCAGAAGTGCCCCCCTCCCAGGGACTTTTGGTCAGACTGGTCCATTTAAATCAGTCTGATCAGTCTGCCCTTTTCAGACTGCCTTCTCCAATGGTGGACCTGACTCCCCCATCACCATAGCAGATAAGCACAAAAGGAGAGTGACTAAATTAGATCCTATGGATCCCAGAGATGGTCCTTCCTAGATGGAGGAGAGGTGCAGGCCACACCATCAGGATGGCAGGTTTGCTCATCCCTCTCTTGATTACCCCAGAGCAGACACCCAGGTCCATCCTCAGCGTCACAGCAGGTGGCTCAAAGCTGCAATCCTATCATTCACACCATACAGAGATCAGAAACACCTGAACCATTAGAAAAAGGCTTGGAAAATTAAGCTGAAGAGCTGCTAAAGGCAAAGGAAAAGCCGAACACTAACATGTTATGCTTAAAGATAGGAAAACAGTTGATTTAAAGGATGTTAATAGCAAACTTACAACGTAGAGGTTGATTTTAACTGCAGTTTGGCATATACGAGCTGCTTGTGAAATCATTACACACTCCTGTACCTTTCTGCAGGCCAGCTCTCTTTTGGTCTATGCATATGCAATCTAAATGCAGCAAACGCATGAATGCAAATGCCACCAGGCTGTTCGCAACAAAAATCATTCCAAGCAGGCAAAGCAGAAAGAGCGAGACAGGCATCCATCCACAGCCAAATACTGTTTTCTGGGGGATACTAATATCCTGTGGCTCTTGAAAATATTTAATATTAAGATTGTGATATCCTCTTCTAGATATACTAGTTACTTCCCCAGAATTAATAATCCAACCAAAACAGAGAGAGATACTTTAAAATTTGGCCTTTTCAAAGCTGAATATTCATTTGGGTTAAAAATCGATGATTTTAAGCTGCATGTGCAACAAGCAGAGACATCTGAGCTGCACCTGGACTTAATCTTGCCTGTAGTTAAAATGTTTTTAAGATGCTAAGAAAAAAAAAAGGCAAATAGCTATTGATCTGTTGCTAAAAGTCAATACACGAAAAAAAAGAGGAAGATTATGAATGGCTGGGGTTTCCCTGGGCTCTACTTCTGGCTCATGGCTGCCTAGTACCCCTGTCAATCGGACTTTACTTTCTGCCTGGGAACGGGCGGTATGTGCTACTGCAAGACAAGTAACACCTCTTCATTTTGATGTGGGGATATGACAGAAATTTGCCGTGGTTACAGAAAGCTCCATTTGCAGGCGTACTTTATTTATTTTTATTTTTTTAATGAGTCACAATCATTGAGAAAACAGGCAAAACTGGCCTCCCATTTTTGTGCCCTGCTCTCTGTTTTTTTCTTGATGCACCCTACAATGGAGGGAGAAAGATTCTTTAAACTGCAAAAACATAAAGATGAGATTCTCACCGTAGCCAGGGCCCTGCTCAAAAGAAGGGGCCAGGACAGCACGATGCTGCTCCGGTAGCCCTGGTGCTTCCTCCCGAGGATCCTCCCAGGGCAGGTGCAGAGGATGGAATCAACAGACCCATTTTTGAGGATGTCCACAAATCCTTGGATATCACAGACATTTCTGAGCGCTCTGCCAGCCTCAGGAAAGCTGTAACAGACTATTGTGAACTATTGTAGCTTTCTAAGTAGCAAATTTTTCAAAGGGCAGCCTAAGGCCCCCTTCCCATCTCTACACCTACTGTTATTTCTATGCAGCATCTATTGCAGTGAGCTTTTGCAAGTGGGCAATTGAATTAGAGCATCTTAAGATGTTACTGTCTCTTCCACTTTGATGCTCCAAGTGATCCTAAGTCACCTACCTCCTCCTGGCCCAATACAAACAGCACAGGTTAAAATTTCAAGCCTCTCAAACACACCGTGGAGGCAAAGCTCAAACTGCCACTCGGCCCCTTCTCATCTGCACTGCGTGTGCTGCTTCAATTCCTTTCCCTCTCCCTAGGGTTTCATTGCAAGGGCATCCCAGGGGACTCCTAGCACCTGCCTACGCAGATCCGACCGCAGGAACAGGACACGGAGCCTGATGGGCAGGATCTGCAACGGGAGGAGTTTGTCCGAGCCATGAACCATCCGGCTGCAAAAGCAACTTTGGAAATCTACAGGTCATCAACTTCTAATCGGCCAGGGCAGAGCAGCTCAGCAGGAAAATCCCCCCTTGTCCCTCTCTTTCGGGCAAGGAACTAAACAAGACTTTTGTTTCAAAATATTTAACTCTTTTTTGCTCAAAGTAACAGGGAAAATGGATCCACACTACATGGAGTCAGGAAGAGACTGTTAATTAAAAAAATAGGCTGCAAGAATAGTGTATTAGTAGCACTTCACAGCAACTCTTAACATTTTCAGATGTAGTGTCAAAAAAGATGTTTTTGTGTATCTGAACATGCTTTTTTGATAACAGAAAAGCAACGAAAAGTCACAGCACGTTGCCAAATATTACTTGGACAGAAATAATCCCTTAAGAAATACGTTTTTTGCAGTTAACACAAAACTGTAAACTGGATTGGTGTGTCTTTCAGCATCAAATTATTCGGTAATAAATACGACTAAGTCTTAACAGACTACGGAGTAAAAATTCCCTTAATGTCCAGTTTTTAGCAGCTGTTGAAAGTTCAGGGATGCACAAGGCACACCTCTGCAGATTCTCTATCTTTATTATTGACATACAAAAAAAAATCTGTTCACCACTCAAACTTTTGTCTGCATAGTAAGAATTCTTCTACTACTATTTACAGGGGCTTTTAGTGCAAAAAACAGGAAGTGATGTATTAGCTGAAGGGCATCGAGCACACCTCGTACAGTTTCATCAAAAACTAGTCAGCATCACATTTTTGGCCGCCAGCCATTAATGAACTGCAGTATTTTCTTAACCTGCAATTTGCTTAGCTTGAAGTCTTCTGAAAGGATTTCTTCTGTAAGCTGAACCAGTAAATTGCCATCAATCTTCTCTGTAACGAAAAATGATACGACATCTTCTGACAGGCCAATAAACCGCAGCGATTTAGACACTTCCTCTATGGAGAGGCCGGACAGGTCTGTGGGTGGCTGCCAGGGAGAGCCGTCCCCGCAAGACCTCGGCGCTAGCTGCAGGTGGAGGGGAGACGAGAAGGGGTAGGACGCAGAGAAAGTGTCCTGCATGCCCTTTTTAACGAGATACTGCTCTTCCAAGAGGTCTGGCGAATCCGTTTTGGATTCCTCCTCGGCACCGTCTATTTTTAGCGGTAAAGGACACGTGTCTGCAGCTGGTTTCTCTTCACCTGCTTTGGGCGCCCGAGGAGGTAAGGCAGGACACGAGTGACTCTGCTTCGTGTTGCTGGCCACTAGAGTTTTCTCATCAGTGCATTCCAGTGAGTAACTGGCTGACTTTGGGCAGCTGGAGATGGCGTTAGCAAACTCTGCCGGCGTCAGCGGCGCGCAGTCCTCAGGGAGATCACACCCGTCCAAGTCAAAAGTCAAAGGTGCTGGACAGTTTCTCTTTGGCGTGCCTGGAATTTTCTGCCTGGGGTAGCTATAGCTCCTGCTTGGATCTAGCAGGAAATCATTCCTGTTTCGGCCTTCAGCGGTTCCTGAAAAATGGTTTGGCCAGGATAATCTACAGGACAGAGCTTCAGCTGAGGGGCTTCCAAAAGGCATCGTGCTCTCAGGCTCTTTGGATTCGGTTTTCATCATGTTACAAGGGTAGCAGGACACGGGTGTGCTCTCCGCTGTGTTTGCGTTGTCACTCTCTGCGACGCTGCTTAAGGGACGAAGCAGAAAGGATAATGTTAGCACAAAAAATATGGCATTTAAGCAAACCTATAAATCAACTGACAAAACCTGAGGGCGGCTGTCACGAAGAGAGAATCTTTTTTCTTGTGGGAAAACATTTGAGGCTCGAATTAACAATACATTTGAATAATGCATTGACAGTTCTGTTACTTTTCTGGAAGCCTGACAAAATGTTTATATACCCCAAAACCTCCTGAGAAAACTCATGTCTTGGTTCTCCAAGCTCTAATAAAAAAGTAGATGTCTCAATTCAGCTCTGTGCTATCTCCCAAACACTGACATCATCCACAGTCTAATTCTGGAACAGTCTCACATATAGTAGATTTTTTTTTTCTAATTCTGTGTTTTCTATTTACGTACCCCAAATGCATCACACTACACCAAAGCTCATAAGAGGGACAGGTCACCACTGCAATAGACACAAGTTTGAGCAACATAATGGACAATTGAAAACTCTTTTTGGGGGCAGCAATTTAACTTGCTCTAGTGCTTGCAGGCATCCAGGGCACAGGATGCTTCCTCAGGGCTCACTGCTGCAAAAATCATAGCTCTACAATAATACAGAATAAGTTAATGCTTATTGATATTGGAAGATTTCCTTACCTGGAAAGGTAATCAGATTCATCTGTATGTGTCGAAAGACCATGTTTTACACTTACCCTGCTGTGACCTGATTATGCGTCTATATTTTAGAACTTGTGATGGGAAAAATTGCTTTTCAAAGGTACCTAAAGGAAGGTGCCCTGACCTACTTATAAGTGGAAAATTAAGCTCAGCCTGTCCGAGGGAACTGATGGTTTATATCCAGGGATCCTTGAGAAACAGAGACGCTAACAGAAGATGCAATCCATTAGCAAAAAGGAATGTTTGCTGCTTCTATATCACCCCGTAGAAGAAAGCCTGAAGGACTGGGTGGATCTTTGGAACTCTGGCCAGTTAAGCCAGGTTACTGGACAAACAATTAATAGAGTTATAAAATCCCTACCTAAAATAATGGAGAGAAACCAAGAGCTGAAATGCTTGCTTCAGTTACTCTCATCTCTCTGCTAGAAATTAGTAATTAGTAATTAGCTTTTTTATTTTTCCTTTTTCCTTTTCACAAATGTAGCCACTGGGCTGCTCAGTTCAGAGAAGGCAGTCAATGAGGTGTTCTAAATAACTAACCATAGAGAGAAATTAATTGATTGATCCTGTTTCCGTTCTCTAATCCAATATTAGAAATGGGAACATTTAATGATTTAAAGGAGTAATGGAATTACTGAAAACCAATAAAGTAACGTTTTCTGAGCACTTCCTTATTCATCCCCCAACAAAATTAACCTTCTGGGATTTGGTGCCAGGGAATGCAAGAGAAATCTTAAATACAGCTGAAGTCAGGTGTCAGACATATGTTTTTATATTCAAGTAAGGATAAATTATATCAGTTTTGTATGTTTTTAAAATATTGGCCACTACCCTTCATGAGCCGGAGAGTAACCTGATGGATAAAACTGACAGGATTTGCCAAGCAACTTCACCAGCCATCAGGTCACTCTACAGATGACCATTTTTTAGCAGCTTCTGCAGCAGCAGCAAGTTAAAGCTATCAAAACTGAGATATCTGGTCTGCACTCAAGCTGCCTAAGAATTCCATACAAACTTTGCAAAGTCGCAGACACATACAGCATCGGCAAGCCTGAGAAACTGCATTTCTCAGTATTTTTCTGTTTTCTTGGGAGGCAGATGTCTCCTATGAAGACAGGAAGACACATTTAGTGGCCTAAACACTGGGTGGTCTTGTGCTCAGTATCGTGTGGAGTAGTCCTTGAGAGAACCACCCAACAGGCATTCACAAAAGCAAACGAGTAGCTTCAATCCAGAGTGATCACTGCCAGAAGAGTAAGCTGCAAGTGTGTAGTAGAGCTTAGAGAGGCAATCTGAGCATGTCACGTATATCAGTGTCCATCAGAATGAAATAATTTCAGTGACTTTTGATTTTCAGATCAATGCATGATACTCCCAACAGGTAACATCTTGACTCTTTCTTAGCAACAAAATTGAAGAGAAACCAACATAATGGCAATAAATTCAAGTCAAAAGTGAAGTAAGATTTTAAAAGGCATATGTACTTTCTAAAGTCAAAGGAAGAATGCTGCACTGCTAAGTAAAGGTATGCAAGCAGGTAATTCAAAATCCAGTGCCAACTTGCTGGAGTAGATTTTCTAGTTTGTGCTGAAGTGGGTTTGATCTGGAAGCTGCCTGGCCCCATTCCACTTCATGTGACTTTGCACTCAACGCTGTCTGGTGACTTCTCTTTTCCTAATCACACCCTGCCAGTAGGTTCACATATACCTGGCAAAATACTTTCTGGATTATCACACCCTTTGGGCTCCCTTCCCCACATTCCCCAAGCACAAGTTGCACTGCATGCATGTAGCATTGATATTCCACCTGAAAACTACCTTTGAGATGTTCTCCTTTGAATATTCAAAGCCATCTCCCTAAAAACTTTTGCTTTCCAATCAAGTATTACACAGGACAGGATTTTCCACTTAGATAGACTTTTCCACTTAGGGGCCTGGAACATCTGCCCTATGAGGAGAGGCTGAGGGAGCTGGGCCTGTTCAGCTGGAGAAGAGAAGGCTGAGAGGGGATCTAATCAGTGTATATAAATACCTCAAGGGAGGGAGTGTGGAAGCTGCCTGGCCCCATTCCACTTCATGTGACTTTGCACTCAACGCTGTCTGGTGACTTCTCTTTTCCTAATCACACCCTGCCAATAGGTTCACATATACCTGGCAAAATACTTTCTGGATTATCACACCCTTTGGGCTCCCTTCCCCACATTCCCCAAGCACAAGTTGCACTGCATGCATGTAGCATTGATATTCCACCTGAAAACTACCTTTGAGATGTTCTCCTTCGAATATTCAAAGCCATCTCCCTAAAAACTTTTGCTTTCCAATCAAGTATTACACAGGACAGGATTTTCCACTTAGATAACCTGTGCCAATTTACAATAGGATTACCAGTAGCAATATGTGCAGGCATTTAATATAAGCAGCTACATGCTATAGAGCTAAGCACAGTTTCTGCTAGGGCTCTGCTTCCCCTTCAGTTTTTAAAAATAACTTGGTAGTTTAGCCCATTTCAGGAAAACTCAGCAACTCCAAAAACAGCACCAGACGCTTGGAAAGACGCACCTTCAAAAAGAACACATCAATCTCGTTTCAAGGTGGCTAAATTCAACTTTCTTAAAAAGCAAGGTGCTAGAGCGAGGCGCTCACACCTCAAACACATACATGTTGTGCAGTCCTGAAGAATAGTAGGACAGAGTGGGGCTGGGCGACCGCGTCTGCTGCCGGGCCGGCTTCGCCGTGCGAGGAGGGATGGAGGGACTGGTGGAAGAGGACGGCTTCGAACTGCGCGGTGGAACCGGGGGAGCGTTCAGGAGCCTGCACTCCTCTCTCACCTGTGCAAGAGAAGAGTATGTAAGCAAACGGCTATAAAATCTGCGTAACAGCACTCTGAAACAGATGAAACTCATCAATTTGGGCTTGTTTTGCAGTAGGCAATCAACAAAGGAGAAGGGGAGAATACCACTAAGTGCATATATTTACAACAGTATATGGCTGCCATAAGGATCTCCAAAAGAATGCCTTACAACGAGTGGTTATTAATGACCATTTAGGGAGCTTTTTAATAATTAGCTTGATATCAACTCATTTAAAAAATGGTAGACATGAAACAAATCAAAAGAGCCTTTCAGTAACATCCAACATCAGACCAACTGTTCCAGATATTTTATGATCTGTAAGAAGAAATTCATCAGGCTTAAACTCCATTAATGCTGTTTATTTAGATGCGACAATCCAAGCTTGCAAAACAAAAAGATTTCGCAGACTTTCATGTTTCATCACTTATTTTGCCAGTGCTACTCAGCCAAGCAGCCAGAGGACAATTCCCAGCTCCATCCCTCAGGAAGGGAGCCTGGAGCCACCGCTTGCCGGCTCCATCCCCGGCTCAAAGAGGGGCAGGGAAGCAGTGCAGGTGGCCGGAGCGGGGTTGTGGTTTGCAGGCTGTGCTCAGCTCTGGCCCGGGTGCTCTGATGCAGTCCTGTGCCACGTGCTCTAGGTGACCCTGCGTGTGCAGGGGGTTGGACTAGATGATCTCTAGAGGTCCCTGCCAACCCTGAGCATTCTATGATTCTATTCTATGATTCTATGCCTGGACCGGGCTCTCCTCTCCGCTCACTGCCCAGCAGAGGGCACGGCGGCCCCAGCCCAGAATCTTTGCATCTGCTGTTCCCAGCGCCAGAGCTGGCAAAGCACAAGGGCTCCAGGTATTTTCTAAACAGGTCAAATGATTAAAAACAGACAAACTATTTTCTTTTTTCCATTTTTTTTCCTCTTCTGCGTGTACAAAGAACAGACCAAGCCTCAATGCATGCAGAAATGCATCCACAGGATGCTGGGATCCAATCTCCTTCTGCAGCTCCCAAGGAGGAATTCCAGGGTAACTGCAAAATGTACGGGTTGAAAGGCATGGGGCAGAAAAGACCCTTAAAATAATGAACCAACTTACTGGGATGGATTTCAAGCAAAAGAATCTTTTGTCTCCAAGTGGATTTCCAGATCACACAAATGATCTTGCTTCCAAGCTCAGTGTTGAGGGACACCACTTTAGTGAAACAAATGATATGGACAGAAAGAAAGACCTGGGGTTTTTCTAAAAGCTTCTGAGGTTGCCATTATGTGTACACAACACAAAAACTATTTATGAATTATACTATGAAAACAGATTAGGTCTTCTCTTAAGTTTCTTCAAAATTAACCTTACAAAAAAAATAGCAACAAAGCCAATAGGTCTATTTACTGTAGCCAGATAGTTTTTCAGCCTAAAACATAAAAGCAGAGCTCTGCTTATCTGCAATTGAGTTTGGGGCTGTCTGGTCATGAGTAAATTAGCAGGATACATCCCCATAGGAAAAATAAATAAAAACAGTGGAGTTCAGATCTTAAACTTGTCAGCACAGACTTGGGAGAGCAGCTTCGTTTACTAAGCCTAAAGGTGAGTAGGGTGAGTCCAAAAATTAAGACTGCCAGACAAGATTTTTAAGGACTCACCACCTAACCCATGCAGGATGAGACCTCCTGTTCTGCTTCTCTGAAATAGTCTTAGATGCAACAGGAAAGCGAAACTCTCATTCTGTTTGGAAGTCACAGTTTATTTTCAAGTTTAACAACACTGCAGAACTAAAAGTGAACTTAGCAATTCCACAACACATAATTAGCAATTAAAGTGATTTAATTTATTTAAAAACAAAATAAAAGTGGAACCTCTTGCAATTCGCTTCAGTGCTTTCAAAACGCAACAACCCATTTAGTACTTATGCGAAATGGAAAATTGGGGACTGGGACATTGTAGTACATTTTTTCCCTAATTCAGAACAAGTTAGAATTACAGGAAATGCCCAACAGCATAAAACACCGAAATAAATCTTGCTCTAAGGGTTCTTATTTGCTCTCTTGCAAAAAAAATGGAATCAATTTTATTCATGTTTGTTATTGAATTCAGACATAAAACTCTTCAACCATTTTAGTGCTGTGCCCCAAGGATGCCTAAGGACTTTAAGGACTGTTTTTTTCCCCCCAAGTCAGACTAGGCAAAGTTAATACACCGTGCTGTTGAACATATACCATGGGCTAGAGAGACCGTTCAGGGGAGCTCTTGGAGCACAGCACATTGGCAAGGGGTTAAAGAAATATTTTACTGGCATTCAGAGGCACTGTCGTAACACACTATACCCAGCTCCTTTGCCGACCTGGGCTGTAGATCAGAATTAGGCTGTAAGTAATATCAGTTTGTAGTCCCAGTTAGTCCCTGTCACAAGACCATGACTCCCGCTGCCAGACTCGGCTCTCAGGGAGCACAGCAGATGAGTAACACAGAGAGAGTTTGCAGACTAAACTAGCACAATGATAGGAAAACTTCACTGGAGATGTGAAGCCTCACTGGGCCAAGACCCCAGCAATGAAGTAACAGCAGCAGAGAACATCCGTGGTGTGTTAAAACGATCGCCTTGGGGGCTGCTACTAGGAAATACCACTTCACCCTACAGCCCTAGCTGACAGGGCTGCCTATTTATGCAAACAAGGCACATTTGCACGGCAATAGCTCTGCATTCAAACGTGCCTGTGTCCAAACACCCTGGTCTCTGAACCAGCCATGGTGACCCCTTTTTAATGGTGTACGGTGCTAAATGTACTTTAAAAAGCACTATAACAATATGCCTTGTGCCAGCTGCCACCATCCTGTCAGCACCTGGACCCAGGGCTGTCACAGCCCAGCGCCTGCACCGAGCGTTGCTCAAAACACCCAGGAGGAGCCCGTTTTGGCTGGGGGGCTCTCCAAGAAGGGCTGCCGCAAAACGTGTTCGCCCACTTCCAGCGCCGTGGATGCCCGAGCTGCTGCAAGGCCCAAGACGTGCGCGGGGACCTGATTTACTGCTGCGGAGACCGCCCCGGTGGAAAAACAAAACAGAGCAAAACCCCAAAAATAACAAAACCAGTTGCTGCTACTGCCACGAATAAAGCAATTTAATGTCCCTTGCCTGCAGAACTTTGAACTTCCGGCATATTCCATCTGGGACATGCCTTAAATCAATCAGGAAAACAGTCTCTGATTTTACCCCAATTAGTGTTTGGGGACTGAAGCAACTCTGCAGTTAACAGGCCTTAATTCAGAGTCTGTTCTCTTTTACTTCTGCCTCCACGCTATTTTGCTTTTCCTCACAGGTATTTAGAAAATGCATGTTATTACGATGCTTTCATCCTGCAGGTAAGAAGAAATAACACAAAAGCTGCTGAAATACCCAAGTGTCCTTCTCCCCTACAAACAGCTCCTATACACATATTTTAAATTTAATGCATGCAAAAAAATTATTGTCAGCCAAACTCTGCAGAAATGCTATGGAATATCATTTTAGGGGGCGTGATGACTAAACCTCATGTTCATCAGCAGCCACTGAGATTTATTTATTCTATAAATACTCTACATGGAAACCATACAAACATCTTCACAACCTCGACCTACTCATGAATTCAGCCGGTCACTGATATCCATCCCAGAGCTGCTCCAGGAAGCCACAAAACCGATTCTAAATCATTACCCCATCTATGGAGATGCAATTTAGACTTTTTTTTTTTAATGAGGTTACGCCTCTGCCCACTTTGAAACGCAACCTAATAACTTTAGCAGCGATCAGCTCTCTTGCACGGCCAGAAAGCAGTCCTAGAAGCGCTGTCAGCACTCACTCCCATTGCCTCCGCCAGCGGAGCGCGCACAACAGTGTCGCACGCTTTCCAAGATGACCTTGGACGGCCATTGCCGTGGCGGTACACGTCTGTACCCCAAATGCCACCGCAGTGACCAGAGAAAGGCCTGAGGAAAGGCTCCCCCCTGGCAGTGCTGCTCCGTGCCCGGGGGCCCCTGCCCTGCGAGCTGCCATGGCCCCTGAGGCGACGGCCTCGCGCCCGCTCCCTCACGACGGCCCTGCCGCCCGTTTGACCCCGCGCCGGAGCGCCTCAGCCCGCAGAAATCACAGCAGGAAACGAATCATTTTCCAGATTCAGATCTGGCTCCCTGCCCAGACACAGGAGTGCCAGGGCCAGCACAAAAGAGAAGCCAGGAGCATGTGGCTGGGAAAGGAGGAGGAGGAGGAGAGCGGGACGGGTTGCATCAGCGCAGGCTGCCGGGGAGCCTCCGCGCGTACGGGGCAGGCTGGCGCCCGCCCAAACCTCTTGGACGGGGCTTAGGTACATACCTGACCTCAAAGGAAGGAGTGCGCTTGGGTTCCAGCACTTAGACATAACATATAAACACTCTTTGAGAAGAGGACATAATGTTTTTAACTTCCTATCTCTGCTGGAGAGGCCGTGGCTGCTTTTTTCCACCATTCTGGTGGCACAGTCCAAGCTCTGCATTCATGCACTTTAGGGCTGCGCACATTTTGCCAGTTTCTAGAAAGTTTTTTGTGGGAGAACTTTCTCCTTTTTTATTAATTAATGCTTAGGATTATGTCAGGAGATTTTATGACAGGTGGACTTACCACCACCTTCACAGCAGATCCTGAGGATGAAACCTACTGATAATTTTTTACCCTCTGTACTCTCCACCAAGTTTCAGGTTTGGAGAAATGACTTCCTCATAAGTTTAATAGAAACCCCAGGCCTGGAGACACAGTCTTTGGGAAGACTCATTTATGAACTCTGCAGAGTTCCCATTTAAACATACTTTCTTTAAGCAGACAACACAGAGGAATAAATTTAGCTTTGCCTTGGTGAAGTTTGGTTGAAGACAATGGCACTTAATATTCTTCAAAATCTGCCATAAACTTGTAACAGAAAAAATAAGGTCTCATTAAACACACTGCAAATTTGTAAAATTCTAGACATTCCTACTACCAGGGACTATTAACTGAAGACACAGAGATGATCTGTGGAAATTCCAGGCAGGTTCCTGTCTTTCTTACTTCAACCATCGAAAATTTGAGAAAAACATGCAGCGTTTGTAGAGAGATGACACAAAAAGCAAGGGAAGCAAAGTATTGACCTGAAAATTCGCAGTTTTTGTTGTGAGAACAAAAAGGCAATAAATGACCCCTGGAAGTGCCAGGATCAGATGACTACTTGGTCTTTGATTTTAAATATACCCCTTAGGATTTTTAGGACACTTGGTAGGAAATTAGTTGAAGTCGCACATCATCTCTCACCTTTTCCTTGCCCTCCACCTACCCAACCCTCATCAAGATCTCTAAAAAAATCCCAAGGATACTTTTCACCTGCTAGAACAAAAACAAAACAACATGAATCAACCCGGACTTACTGCTTCTGATTTGGGAGGCACTGGAGGTGGAGGTAGGGAAACATCTGAAGACTTGGTTGTTGCTCCGATAGTCCCAGGCACAGGAAGAGGTGCTTTCTTTGATCGGAAAGAGCCTCTGTAATTGTCACATTTGTTCTTTTCACTTAGCGAGCGAGTAAGAGGCTGGTCCCCAGGCTTTCCAGATCCTTGGTCCAACCACAGCTCTTCATAAGGAAGTTCTTGTTTAGCAGGTAGATACAGTGTTCCTTCACCAAATTCAGGAGAAAGATAGTCACTGCTACTGTCACCAGAATCTGGGTATTGAAGAGCATCGTGAGAAAACAGGGCCCACTCATTACACAAGTCCCTGCAACCGTGAAGATTCACTTCACTATTCCCGTGCAAATTGTTTCCATAGACGCACACTGACAGCCGATGGAAGGACTGAGTAAGTTCATCCCGGGCATAGCTCAGGGAATTTGGCACATGGCTGTGCCCAGGGCATCGACTTTTTTTCGGGCTCTTGCAATCTTCATTCCAGTCAGTTTTCACATCTCGCACGGCACGGGAATATTCATCTATGTCAAACTGTTCTTGGCATACATTAAACCAGTGCTGGATGAGGGATTCATGCCACAGTTCCCCCTTCACAAGACTGTCAGGTAGGGTAAATTTTGGAAGTGTCAAGTGCAATGGAAAATGCATTGGAATAATTTTATTGCCACGAAGCACACAACAAACCACCACAGTCTTGGTTTGAATGTTGACAAACTTATACCTGTGCCCTTCCCGGATAAAATGCAGGTCATAAGGGTTTCTTGGTGTAGGACTTGGCACAGTTACATTAACAGGCAGCCGGGTTTTCTCGACTATATTGCGAATTGTGTGCTCACCTTCCTGCATCTGCACCTCCAGTGGGCTGCGGGTGCTAAACCTGCCCTTGCACTGGAAAGGGAGGCTGATGCTTTCATTGGTCCTGTGGTTCATGCAGATGAGGCAGGGCATCTTGCCTCTGCCTAACTTGCTAATTGAATTAAGTTTCCCAATTTTCTTGAAGATGGTGTTGAGTCGTGACTTCTCCTTAGAAGACTTTGCATAAAGGATTTCTGCTTGCCCCATTAAAGTGAGCTCATCCCCAGTACTAAGCGTAATGTTGTAAACCTCAGTGTCTTCATTACATTCACCTGAAGCCACCTGTAAAATAATAAAAAAAGTCTGAAGGTTTTCAGGTCATACCAAATCTATTGAGAGTATACTTATAAACTGTATTTGGAAAGAAACTACTCTAATGTCAATTGTAATACTGGGTAGTCCAATGCAAGATTTATAATCTCAAGCCCAGCCAAGTAATAATTTTGTCGTGCCACATGCTCTCCTAATCCTACGTGAGGGAACAGTCACCTGAAATTGCCAAAGACAACATGAGAACATACACAACCGTTCTTTTTTTTTTTAAAAAAAGGACAGATCTACATGTCCCTACAATTCAAATAGCCTCTTGTGTCAAGCAGCTATGACAGCCCATGTCCGGATTTCCTGGATATCTTTTCCCTCCCACCTTGTTTTTGCTGCTTTCTGGTACTCATGTGCCAGGATTTTGAGGGAAGCAAACATCCTTCTTCTACCATCTTCAATTCCCTGAGGAGCAGAAAGGTGATCTCATCATTACAGATGAAGCACATCCCTTTGATATAATCTTTTCCAGGCTACTGGGAATGAGAGATGACATCTATTCCCTGAAGGAGAAGTCAAGAGTATTGGTCCTATCCCATCTGCCAACCTCCCCGCTGCTTCCTTGCTCTCCTAGTCATAGACTTCCTTCCTCATTTTTTGATCATAATTGCTATTTAAGAGATTAAACAACATATGCACAGCCATGTGTGTGCTTTTCTACTGTGGAAATTGTACTGCGGGGTGGGACCCAGATGTCCAAGGCTCATTTGTTCCTGAAGTTATTTCCTTAAGACTAGAATAACTCTTTACAGACGACGTCTCTCTGTGCCCTATTTGGGTGGCTTCACGCAGAAGGTGTGACAGAACTCACCCAGCTCTTCCTCAGCAGCAGCAGGTCCCTATTCACAAAGGAAGGTACACCAGAAAAGCACTAGTGCCCATGTTATTAAAGGAATACTTAATATAATTAAGAATTTGCAGCTGAAAAAACACGCAAAAAGAGTAAATCCCTTCTTCACCTAAAAAACCCCCAAAGACTTCACTTAGCTGCGACGAGTTCAAATATCAGGCTTCAAACTCCACTTTCATCACAGAAGAGGCACTTGATCAAGTGTAATTCCAGCTAGTTATAACTGCTGTGGAATAACCCGTCACCACGCACGTGGTGATGCCTATTCGCTACGTGGTGTTTGCCCTGCAGGCCCCTCAGCGCGAGCGCGGCGGCCGCTGCTCGAGGTGTTGCGCCCTCTCGGCTTTTCAGCTGCAGCGCTTCCTGACAGGAAGTCATTCCAGCTCCACATTATCTAAACACACGCCAATTAGTCTAACTAGCAAAACTGCTAGTATTTTATTGTACATAATACTCCTTCACAGTTTACATCGCCAGCCAGATGAGATTATGGAACACCAGGGCATGAAAGGAAGGCGGGGAGACCTTACTGATAACACGCCAACGATGCTCGTTGCCCTGTTCTCCTCAAAGCCACCACAGGGCCGCGTTCAGGCTGCAGCCAGGGAGGTAGTTTGGACTTGGCCGAAGCTGATAAGGGTTGAGGACACCCAGCACTCTGTGCACATGCCAGTCAATTCTCCCCCTTCTCTTTTGGAAGGACGGATTGTGTGAGCAAATTAGTTTCTAGTACCTACAGATACCTACCAACCACCAGAAAGGCGTCTTTAGATTAGACAGGCCCGCTCAAACCTTAACATTTTGAAAATGCTCTCCCTTTTTTTTTTTCTGTTGAAAGACAGTCACAGGATAAAAATGGGTGAAATAAAGCTCAATTTTACTGCCTTGCAAGAAAAGGAAAGCCATGCCCCAGTTTCAGTTTGGTGCTCTGAATAAAACACTGCTGTGTGCATTTCCTCTGAACTAAAATATGACATATCTGTTGCTGCCCATAACTATCATAAAAAATGAAGAAAGGAAACCAAGTGCCCACAGGCTGCACAACTCTGACTTTGTATCTGTTCACAAAGCTTTACCACAGTGAGCTTAAGGCAGACGTAAGGAGGCTAAGTCTATTTTAAAGTTCTGAAAGTCAGGAAAGCTAACCCCTCTCTTTTTGTGTTTGATTTGCACTTAGGTCGTTCACTATCACATTCTAGTTAGCATCTATGGAGTATATATAGTGGGGAAATACTTGTTCCAGGACATTTGCAACAAATGCATCTATCATTCATGTCATGAATTGAAACCACTCTAAAATCCTTTAAAAAATCATGCATAGCTCTCTCCTTAAGTTTATATTTCTCAAAGCACATAATAGCTACATAACCTTCAGTTTGCCTTCATCGCAGTGATCTGTGAAAATCAAGCTTGCCCTGTCTTGTTCACTAAACCGTTTCTATTTTTCAGTGGCCACAAAGGCCATGGACTCCCATAGTTCCTCCCTCTTTGCCCTTCCCAGACAATTCTCACTTCCTGGCAATAGGGAGAGCCAATAGGAAATTGCTGGGGCCATGGACTTTAGCAGAGGATCTCACATGACAGGCTCTCCAAATCATCTAGGTTGGACAGGACCCCACAGGTCTTCTAGTCCCACCTCTTGTTCAATGTACAAAGTCAGAAAATATTTTAAAAATTAAGGAATATCTGGAAAGCCTTCATTTAGCAGCCTAACAGCTGATTCCAGTCCTGATATGACTCTACTCTGACCCATACTTTCAGCTCATTTCCTCTCCACACCAGAGCGATCCTCTTGCCCTCTTTGTGACTTCTCTTTCCAGGTTCAATTTTGAATCTTCACAGGTGAAGATAAAATCTCATAACTGGTAGGATGCGGAGAGCAGCTGGCAGAATGGGCAGAGAGTAAGATAGGACAATACCAAACATCTCCTCATGTCATTTTTTGGTTGTTTGGTTGATTTTTTTTGCATACATCCTGCATATTAGATGAGCTCTTCATTGGACAGTTCCCATACAGCAATTTGAAGCAGTTGCTGCCATACCTCCAGCTGCTGCCAGTCACTCAATAAACAGCAAGCCTTCTCCAGGTATTAAACAGCCAGCCCTGGGGGTATCCTGCAACAGCTCCTTCCACAAACATGTTCACCGTTGTGGTTGCTCTCTCTAAATGCACTGCTTTACACACTACGACTCCCGTAGTTCCCCCCTCTTTGCCCTTCCCAGACAATTCTCACTTCCTGGCAATAGGGAAGAGCCATCAAGGCACCAAGCTCTGCACAAGAGACACTTGGGCATTCGCTAGTCCAAAGCCATCCAGAAATCACGTGTCGATGTTCAAATTGAGCAACTAATATCCAGAGAGGTTACTACCTTAGAGATATTTTATAACTAACTGCAAAAAAAAAAAAGGGGTGGGTTAAGTAACTATATCTTTTTACATTTTTTAAGACTCCTGCAATTCAATAGCAATTCAGAGGGCAATTCCAGTTATTGCAGAAGACAGGCATCAGAAAGATGAATGATTATTTTAGGAAACATTTGCTTTTGGGAAAGCTTAAGCGTATAATTTCTTTTGCTTAAGCCAAAGTTAACTCAGAATAATAGATTTTTGGTAGCACCTGAGTCAATATGCCATCCTGAACTCCCACAGTTCTAATTTATTATAGTCGAAGTAGAAGTGTTTAATCATTTGGGCATGCATGAACTTCATATAAAAACGATTTGCTACTCCATATAACTTGCTATGTCAGCTAGATCCTATTGAAGTGACGTAAGCAGTGCATTTGCAGTAAGAAATCACAGTTGGGATTTTTAGTTTACACTCTAACTTTGAGGCCTCTTATTCACCATTACTGCAAACAATCTTCTGTATTAAAGCCAAAGGATCACTCAATTATTATTATTACTTTATAGTTTACAACATGTTTTTTTTTAATATTAAAAAACAGTCTTCAGGGGGATGTTAGCTGAAGAAATAAGCAAGCTTTTTAAAGGAAGTTGGCTAAATTCAATGAGAAAGCCTTTTTCTTTGAATTTTCTTTTATAAATCTGTTTGTCTCACGAGACAAAGAACCAGCAAGTGCAGCTCTGCTGGCACGGGCACGTTTCCTTCTGGGCTGAGGCAGACTTTGCTCTGCAGGCAGTTAGAGCAGCCTTCCGCACTGCCTTAAGGATGTCTCAAGCAAATCAAACAGTTCCAACAGAGCCCTGAAATATATGACAGATAACAACAGGACTTGAACGCCGAACATGAAACATCTCTTGATGCGACATGTCCACAAGTGCAGCCCATGAAGCTGTGTGAGGCAGTGGACCTTGCTCTCTGGGCTCCTTTCAGTGCAGAAACCCTCCAGAAGGTCCATAAATCTAGGCCTGAAGCAGTGCATCTACTTCTCTCGCTCTAAAACTGTTTATCAGATCCTGGAGAAAAGAGGGAGTCACTACTGTAACATTAAAAAAATAACACCAAAACAACAACAAAACCCCACTACAGCTAACAGCATTCTGAGTAAGGGCGTTTTTGCAAACTCGGGGCAGAAGTATCTGTTGGTCTGACACTCAGTGTCTCCAGGGAGACTGATACGTCCAAGAGGAAAATCACTTCAAGATGAAAATGAGATCCCTGAAGGTTTAAAGCGTGTTACTATGTCACTAAGTCAGTCTGCTGTCATTTGGAGCTCAGGAATTTATGGCCTGTCCAGTGTCTACCCTGGCAAGCATGTTTTTTAAAGAGAACTTATGCTGATTTATGCCCCAATAGGATGTGATGTTTTTGTGCTTTTTTTTTTCAAGTCTTCTCTCTTATTATTTCAAACAGCTTCCTGGTGTTTATATAGATTGCCATCTGTATAGGATAAGAATGTCTGACTGCAGCAACCTACCAAAGGCAGGGCCCTGTGGTAGCTCCATGTTGCTAATAACGACTTTCTTTCAACCACAGAGTGTCAAAAAGTTCCATCTTTGTAGCATAATGCTGCTGCAGAAACAAAACTCTCTGCAGCAACGCATTAGACATTACTACAAAAAAGCCACCAGTTACCTGCTCAAGAAAGGAAGGGTAGAATGCCTCTAATTTTCAATTTGGTGTAGGCTAAATATACACCTCACTGCAGGGAATTAGCTCATCCCTGGAATAGTCTAAATCACTGTGCCTGTACCTGCTGCTGGCCACCAGCTCCCTGAGCTGATCGGGTGAGCACATCGCAGCAATTCAGAACATTTTGGGGACAAATTGGCATGTAGAGTCATTACAAAAGTGATGTTCAATCGTTTTTATTTGTTTGATAAGCTGTGAAAGGTACTTGGGAGGAGCACTCCCTTCAAACACACAGCAGATCCTGGACACCTCAGGGCGCTTCCCAGGACGCCTGTCTAGACACAAAACGGGAAGGCAGGAAGGGACACTCAAGGTGGTTCATTTTTCCTTTTCACAACGTACACACAATGTGAAATGAAACAATTCCCTTAAAGCAGATTCCCACCCACAGCATAATGCAAAAGCAGCTCTTACATTACAGCGCTAGCTATAAAATCCTGCCTAACCAGAGAGGGATTTACACAGAGGAGCAAAGTTTGCACCAGGTCACCCGTAGCAGTGGCACGCTGGCATGTCCATGCAGGACTCAACGTGTGCAGACAAAGCCATGCAGTAACTGGTGCCATCCCGTAAATCGACAGCCTCTTTCTTAAAAAATGATCTCAGAAAGGGTTAAGTGTTTTAAAACAAGAACTCCCAGACTTAAGAATTTCTCCTCACCTTCATCATCTTCACTAGGTATTTTAGGCAACATATTTTCTTTCCCTTAGATATTAACTACCTTCTGATACTTTGTTCTGAATTTCAGTGGACACACGTATTGGACAGAAATCAACTTTAGTTGGTCTTGCCTCCTTTTCTCAAGTCAGTTTGACAAGATTTCCCCTAAATTAAAATGCCTGCATACATCATTCTGTTCTTTGTAAAGAGTTATTAAAGTTTCAATTCATCCTGTTAAGTTCATTTATTTTTTGGAAGATGACAACCTTGGAAAAGACTTGAATAGTCTATGAAACAAAGGAAAATTTGCCAAGAGAAACATTGCCCAGATAACTGTTTTACTAAGTTAAACTAGATTATTATAACTTATTTACATTACAGAATATCACTGTAATAGCTTTCAAAATGGATTTGCTATAAAACAGTAAGCTATGCTGAATTCTGGGCTTGCTAAATAAGGCAGAGCTTTTCGAACACTCATATCGAACTTGAGACACAACATTTTACATTTCAACGGGCCTGCAGACGAATGCTCTTCACCCTACACAACCCCAGCTGCACATTTCACTGCGCCACGCTCTTGATTCAGTCCCTGAGCAGCTGAGCCATAGGGATACAGTACCCGATAGGCCTAGCAGCCCCAATCTAAGGCTGATTTTTCCTGGAGAGGAACAGGATTTTCTTGTGGCCTCAATTTGGCTGGCTACATCCTAAAAATGCAAAAGTATTCCAACTTGCAAATGCAGCCTCATCCTGAAAGGCTCGGTTCATTTTATGGGTTCATTTTAGTCAGGAGCATAAATGAAAATGATCCACTCTCTGGAAAGGCTCGTTTTTGCACCACTAAATGAACTCACCAATGAGCGCCTGCACTTACTGCAGGCTTCAGCAATCTTGCTTCCTGCGTATAAAATTTCTGGACCACCTGACAGCTCCCAGCATTAACAGGAGAAAAAGCCACTAAAAGATTGTTAAAAAAGCCATATCATCTACACTCGGAGGACAAGGAGTCCCCGTGCTGTTTTTGCACCAGCAGTAGGGACCAGTTTCCCCTGTTGAGGATACAATACTACTTATTCTGAGACAAGTAACCCCAGCGTTTCACCCTACCCGCTCCTTGGGAACGAGGCTTCCTGGACGGGGATTTGAGCAGCTGCTGCTCTGCAGAGAACAGAATTCAGGCGGCTGCAACGGGAAGGGGGGCAACAAACAACATTTGTTTAAAATCTGGCAGCAGCCTCCCAATTAAAGGAATTATTGGATGGATCAGCAGGATTGCTCCCCAAAGGGCCACAGGATAGGAAAGCCCTTGGAAGACGTGTTGATTTAACGCTGCAAAAATCATCCCGAAAAGCCCCATCTCCGAACGCAACACTAAAGACTCGTTTGTCTTGAAAAAAATCACACTTCCCATACAGCGCCGTTGCTCACTTGCCATGTATATAAAGGTTGTAACAGTTAATCAATTAGACAGGGAAAAATATTTATTCAGGGACTACCTTAACGTTGAACGTTATTTCCTCCATGACGTAAACTCGTTCAGGAAATGCTTTAGCCACCTCCTCCACACTGTTAAAATACTGCACTGGCTCCTTAATATCTCGGTCTTGTTCCAGCAGCTTAAACTGCCCTGAAAACAGATGATAAACAGAAGAGTTGTAAGATATTTACATTGGACGACTGTCACTCTGGCAACTGCTGCCTCGACTCCTTCTCTGTTTTGCTTGGTCACTTTTTCTGGCTCTTAGCAGTCAAACAGCAAAACACGGGATTGCAAAGAGTCTTTTAAAACCTGCAGTGAGAGACGGTGAGTTTTATTGGGTCAGAATGAGAAGAATGTGTGGGAGCTAAGTTAAATTAAAAGAAGATCCTTTTATGACATACTCTCCAGAATAACTACTGGGGTTTTTGTGCTTGCATACTTAATTCATTGTAATAGTATCTGGCCCTTAATATTAAGTTTTACAGAATGAAAACACACCCTTTACCATAAAAACCCAAACAATGAACATGAAAAAAAAATCATCAAACAGTATCACAGAAGTCCTAGGCTACAGCCCTTTCCCCTAGGCTTGTCTAACAGTGGAACAACACCCAACTTTTCTTATTCAGAACTGAAGTCCTTTGAGAAGTTAAACATAACATACAAAGAAATTAACCCCATTCCCTTAACTTTCTTTTGAAGGTGACCCTCTTCAGAAAGCATGAGGGAGACGTGTTTCTTGCAGACTTTGCTCACAACAGTACAATAACCGTTCTGCTATTTTCTAGGTGCTCTAAAAGTTGAAAGAATTAACACTGAGGTAGCTGACTCGGGCAGGACGTTGCTCCGGACAGGTAGGTGCTTCAATCACTTCTGTGCATTATGAACACAAGGTTGAAAAGCTTTCTCTTGTAAATACAGTCACATCAAATCCTTAGACAGGTATCTTTTCTGCTGGAATGAATTAAATCGAAAGATCTCCCCAAACTCAGAAATATTAACCAGTCCAAGCCTAAATGACCATGTCAGCAAGAAAACAGCACAGTAAGACTTATTGTGAGAAACAACTCAAAAAATGAGTAAAAGACTGAGTAAAATCAATGCTTTGCACATCTCCTGTAAATCCTACTTCAAAAATAGCAACACATCCAGCCACCGGATTGCTGTTCACAACAGCACTTGGCTCCAGTGAAAGGCACCCAGTGCAGCAGGAAGGCAGCCACCTACAGAAATACTTTCTCACTCCTGCAGCATTTTGTGACATGTTTGGAGGACTCGCCCACAGGACACCTAGCAGCAGAGGAGGACACGAACGCAAGCGCAGCAAGCCCTGAAGCCACACAAGGAAAAGCCATCCCCGCGCCCACCACGAGCGCGCACATGAGCTAGCACCGAGACCAGTATCGATGCTCCAACCCCAGCACCTGGCTCACAAGGGGACAAATGTTCCAATCATAGAATCATAGAATCACAGAACGCTTAAGGTTGGAAGGGACCTCTAGAGATCATCTAGTCCAACCCCCTGCACACGCAGGGTCACATAGAGCACGTGGCACAAGGTGGCATCCAGGAGGGTTTGGAAGATCTCCAGAGAAGGAGACTCCACAACCTCTCTGGGCAGCCTGTTAGGGCAGATGTTCCAGGCCCCTGGGCAGCATTTGGCCCCTGCGCTGGACTCTCTCCAGCAGCTCCACATCCCTCTTGTCCTGTGGAGCCCAGAACTGGACACAATACTCCAGATGCGGCCTCATCAGGGCTGTGAGGTAGCCAACATACCATTTTTTAAGGCAGAACACTTTCTTTTATTCCTCTCCATACAATTTTTTTCTATAGTCTTTGAAAGTCCGTAGTACTTTCAAAGTATTATCAACTGGACTCGTGCTGCTGTAGAGTACAACAACTAAAGGTATTGACACTTCCCCCGTAAGACTATTTTGCAACTGTTTAATAAATTTCACTATGTTTCAAATATTAGTTGCCCTATAGTTTTCTTAACTGCATATCTGCTTCAGGACACGCTATTATTTGAAGTTCAGCCAAAACAATTCAAATACTTCAAAACCCAACACTAATACAGAACATTCCTGTAGTAGGAATACGCCAACTTTGGTCTGAGCGGGTAAAGACCTTCCTGCAGGTCACTGGTTCACTTAGGAATAGGTTTACAGGTCAGATGGGAGCCCTACCTTGTGCACTATCCTGCCTTTGACAAAAGCCACCAGATGAGCAAGGAACAACTTAAGAGCAATCAGCAAAACCGCTGGTCTCCCCTCTGTACCGCTGGAGGGAACCTATGGCTCATGGGCTTCCTGAGCAGAGAAGAGGTATCTTCAGGCTCCACTTTTCTTTCCTGTAAATTTGTTTGCTTTCTTAGTCAAGGTAGAGGAAACTTTTGACACACATATACCACCCACCTTGATCAACGGGCAACCTCTTCTCCCTTTATAGCAACTCCAAAACTAAGCGTGGAAATTTCAGGAGTGACAAAGCGGTGCCTGGCATGTGCTACAGGTACCCATAGGAAATCTGATGAGATCTAAGGACTTGAAGAAACATTTCACGTGCTCAGCAGAATCTGCTAGCATTTTGAAACTGAACTGCTCTGTTTGTCTACTCCGAGCATCTTTTACTGTAAAACTAGGGAGTAGGCCATGCAGACTACACCCCTGGGTTCAGTTAAGCTAAATAATAAGCCGAAGGGCAGCGTGGAAATATGCAAAATCTCCATTTTGTAATTATGTGGTTGTATGTTTTCCAATTCCAAGAATCAGAGAATGAAGCTGCCCTTAGAAGTGGAAGCCCTGCTTCATCTACAGTCACACGCTGCTGTGACCGATGCATGAGCTGAGCAAGAGGAGATGGAAGCCAGGCTTGCAGGACCTCCCCGCCAGCCACAGCCTAAGGGGGGGACTAAATCCCCAGCTCTGCAGGGTCTTGCCCTCCAGGCACCCAGCTTTTCTATAGGGGAAATTCAGGAGCACGGGGGAAAAGCCCAGCCTTGCCCTGACACGGCATCAGCGTGTACCACCAGCAACTATGAGTTGCACCAAGGAGAGCCTGGTGGTAGTGAAAAAAAGCAGCCAGGGACGGCAGTTCACAGAAAGCCACCATGGGCAAGAGGTCCTTACATTTTAGAGAAGACCCCATGCTTAGTGTGTTGCATGGGTTCACCTTGGCTGTCTTTCTCTCCGGGGACTTATTCCCAAATTGCTCGTCAGGGAGCACTGCTGTCCTCTCTCACTAATGACAGAGCCACTTGGCTGCAACCCTAATTGATTGCCCCGTTTTAGGACGCGGGTGTCTGATGCGCAGGATTCCCAGCTGTAGTGACTGTTCAAGGCAAGCTGTGATCACCATTTATAGTGGCAGTTTATGCTTGACGTTCCCTGGAGAAAAACAAACAAAACCACGGCAAGTTCTAGACATTTTGGATAGATCGTCTAAAACCAGTGGGATACTTCTGATTTAACACTTCCCCCTTACATACAGCATGGAGTTAAACGCGATACCACAAGGAAGCTGTGCCAATTTTGACTCAAATATCAGTCACTACGGGGATAAAAACTTGGAAATGCAGAAAGTTAACTCTCTCCTCAGAATGGAATCGAGTTGGGCATAGTAACAAGACATGAAGTCGCATGAAGAACTACTGAGGAAAAATACACTGAAGAGTGAGTTATGTCTAACAGTGTTCATGCTGCACGTTGAATGAGACAGTGTGCTTTGATTCTAGCTACTCTGTTTAGTGACATAATAATGTTATGGCTCCAAGACCAATGTATACTTAACAACAGACATTCTGGTGGCAAAAAAAACGCCAGTTTCCATTTCAACCCATAGTTGTGCAAAAAACAAGTCCAGAATTCCTCATCACCGACAAAAGCTGACAGCTGTGAGAAACCGGAAGCGGGGTCTGTTACCCATTTTACATTTACACATGTTTGTATATACATTAAAAAAATCAACTGGAGCGTTGCTTCGGTACAAAGAGACGCTCAGAAGTGTCTATGTCACCATGGATGTCACCTCCTTGCCCCGGTTCAGCCGAGCCCCACAGACACAAAGCTGCCTGTGCCTTCGCCGCTAACAAGCAGCAGTTCATGGGAAGGTTGATCCCAGAGCTGCACACACAGATCCCAAAGCATAAGGGCAGCCTTAGTCTCCCACTGCAATGAAATCAGGAAGCGTTTTGTGTGTGGAAGCTGTCTGGATTGGATGGTAGAATGCCTCTCCTTTGGAAAGGATGATTTATAACTCGAGATTTTCTATAGCCGTTTTTTTTGCAAATTATTTCTTCATTGAAAAAGGCTTTTTTTTTTTTTTAATTGAAAGGAGAGGAAGAAGGGCCTGCAATACACATTTGAGCCAGATGTCAAGCAAATAACTAATGGGGAGGAAGGAGACAATTTCATATTACATTCCTCCCTGGCCTCTGCTCAAGTTGCCATACAAAAACATAGCAGCAAATTTCCAAGAGCACTGCTGAAATACAAGTTAAACGTACATAAGTCTGGCTTAAGCGCAAGTTAAAACTGAATTTTATTATACTTGACAAGCGGCAAGATTTCATCATTGGACTTTACAAAATTCAGTGCAAGCTTAAACAAATCACTGAAAAATTTAACAACAGAATAGTAAAAAGAATATAAAATGGTAGCTAAGCTTTTGTAAAATACACCTCTTTCCTCTCTTATTAGCACAAAAAAAGGATAATGAAACGCTGCCCTCTGAAATCAATGCACGACTGGAAAGTTGGGATTCCGAAAGGCCTGCGGAGCGCATGGAGCAGGGGTGGCATGGGGGGGACACCGGGGCACAGCCGCCAGCCCTGCACCTCCCTGTGCTCCGGGCAGGCCATGGGAATGGTTCCATTCCTGGGTATTACCTGTGGACATTATGAAACCTGATTTCTGTGTGAAGGTACCCTTAGCACAGACGGTAAATCCCCTGCTGATGGAAACGAGCAGGGAAAGATAAAGAGGTGGGGGAAAGAGCTAAACCAAGGCTCATCCTCTAGTTTATGGCCGCATGTATCAAAACCACCAGGTCATTAGGCAGCTCTTTCTATTCCAGGCTCCTGGTTACTTCTGCCACCTGCAACGTTCAGGCTTCAGCAGGCTGAGCTGCTTTCACAACAACAACCAGTCTTAC